CTCTGTTACCCGGCTCAGTGATCTCAGTTTCTTTACTCTTATATGTTGGTAAATTGTACATTTTTTGCTTTAAAAATGATTGAATTATGGTGTTTTTATCTTCCGGTTAAGGATTTTATGCCTTTAGTAAATCTGTGTGCAATATTTTTAGAATTATCAGCAATTTTAAAGTTCTTTAATTGCCGCTAAGCCTTTTTTAATGGCGGCCATTGATGTTTACATTTGAAACAGGAGACTAGTGGATTTGTTGCGTTTCTAGAGAAATTTAGCTTCGCAACAACAAAGATAACACCTTCATTTATTATTTAAATCATGCTTAAGCCGCTCTGGAATTTTTTCGAGGAAATAAGCGTTTAAGATTTACTTCGTAATTTTTAATATAGATATTTTGAGTTCTTATATATTTTTGCCTTCTCGCGAAGTGAGAACTGAATTAATTAAATGAGAAATATTCAATCGTCTGCGAAAAACTGTTTCTTTTCTTTTTTTTTTTTTTTTTTTTGTTTTGTTTGCTTAATTTCTTTTATACATCATTCTAGCTTTATTATAGTATTTGAATAGAACATGTGGCAACAATTAGATAATTCTATTCTTTAACTGATATAAATTTTGTGCATTATGAGTTATAATATGAACGAAATATATAAGTTAACTGTTATATAATTATTGGATTATATAACAGTTAACTTATATAATAATTTTATAACGGAAACTAAGTTAACTGTTATATAATTATTAATACTGTTAAGTGAATCGAGCGCCAGATTGTCGCTATCGTAAACAAGTACTAAAGTGACTTTTAAAGAATGCATTTATTCTATTGTGGTTTATGCGCTGTCGGCGAAGTATAGATTTAATTCAATCCAATAAGTTTAAATGAAATGCAAGAAAAAATGCGTTTAATTTAATATTCCAATACAAGGAAGTCATGTGGTGTACACATCAGATTTTTAATTTAACTAAATTTAATTTCTGCAAACATTTACATGATTACTTTAATTAACAAAAATTATTTTTAGCACACTTTGATATGAAATAATTTTTTGCACGCTAGTGAACTCTATTAAATTTTCCAGTCTAGTTCAGACATCTTGACTATTATTGATGTAATTTATTAAAAATATAATTTGTATGCTTTATAATTATTTAATTTATGATATTATTATAATAAATGGAAGATGTTTGTAATGCTAATATATATGTTTACCAATACTTTTTATTTTCTTTGTTAGCTCTCACATTTATTACTGTTATTCAAGTAATTAGCCTGCTTGTTAGATAGTTTCTTACTTGGTCTTGTGATATGTAATTCTATTTATTTATTTTTATTTTCCTCTTGGCTACAATTGGCTTCAAAAAGTTAAATTGTAACCCTGTAGGGAACAGGGGGAAGAAATTCTGATCGGCGCAGTTGGACTATAGCAGGAGCCGGGGGGGGATTTTCATTAGCGCAGTTGGAATACACCCGTTACAAGAATGTTTACTTAATGCCAATTAGATTTCAGACACATAACAGATTAATATTTACGATGCTGGGTTAAAATTTCATCACATTCCGGAGATGAGATGACAGACCACTTTTCAGAATTACAGAAAGTAAAGATTATATTAGAAAAGTTATTTCTCTGCGATCTTTAGAATGAAGAGGTAAGCATGCTCAAATGTAAAAGATTGAAATGGATATTGTTAATTTATTATTAGAAAGATAGAGGTTTTATATTTTACATATAAAGTGCATTAATACAGATTCGCAGGTGAAAAACCACATCCATGTGCTAAATGCATCAAATCATTTACACTCAAAATTCCTCGCATATTATTCACATTCGAAGAAACCACGTGAATGTGTTGTCATAAACCATTTAAACCATGATTTATATAAACATGTTTACACATACCAATAGCAAACTAGTATACCAATGTAATGTTGTGAAGATTTATATAAATAATTTAAAACATGATTTACATAAACATGTTTACATATACACATTTCAAACTACACCATTGTCAACATTTCTTTCTACCTGCATTATCATTTGCACACAGAAGGGCATTAAAGAGAGTGCTTATCCATAACAGCATGAAACTATACGGAATGTGATATTTGTAACTAACTGTTCACAGTTAAATGGCATTCAAAAATAAAATTGTTTATATTCACATTGGTGGGAAACATACGCATGTGCTAAATGTAGCAATTCATTTTAGAGCAAGGGTTGTTTAGAAACACATGAGCTTATTTATTCTCATGACAAACCACATGAATGTGTTACAGGCAATAAAATATTTGCATGCAAGGGTGACTTAAATAGACAAGTGTTTACACACACTGGTAAGAAGCCACACGACTGTCTTATATTAAACCAGTCACTATATAAGGTATTTTCTCTTTCCTTTCTGCAAGCCTTCATGGTGTAACGGTAGCACACTCGGCACATATTTGAGACGTCCAGGGTTCGAGTTTCGGAGACGGCATTGCTCATTTCTTCGATTTTCTTGTTTAGAAAAATTTTTTAATAAATCTACAATGGCGCCCAAAATAAAAGGTAGTGGATTATGATTCTTCCCCGCGAGGATTTTGCGATTGGGTCACCCTTTAAAACGGGGGGTATATAACATATTTTCTCTCTCTTTTCAGCATGCCTTCGTGGTGTAACGGTTAGCACACTCGGCACATGTTCAAGAGGTCCAAGTGAGGACATTGATCATTTTTCATTTCTCCTGCTTCAAAAATCTTAATAACTGTTAAATTTAGTATGCATAAATATGCTAAAGAGGCATTATATTTTCAAATGCTAAGGAGAAATCTCATGAATGTGATATCCACAGCATGTGGTTCAGATTTAAAAGTGACTTAAACATATATAAACTTAATCATACTGGTAACAAATTATCTGAATACATGCCACATGTCTTTTGTTTAGAAAAGCTATTTATTGAAACGTGCTCAACCATTCTGATGAGGAACAGCATCAATGTGATATTTGTAACAAATCATTTGCATTGAAGAACGATTTAAAGAGACATATACTTGAAATATTACTTTTAAGGTCATAGCTTTATTCATACTCTGGATTAAAAAATATGTGAATGCAATATTTGCATAAAATGATTTGTATGAAAACTTCACCTGTATTATATGATTATCCACACTAGCAAAAAAAAAAAAAAAAAAAAAAAAAAAAAAACATGGCTTAATGAGCAAGATCTACTGCAGCTCCATGTGAACATTTTTTGTATATCACAGAAATCCTTATTTAACATGCGTATAGAAAGACAGAGAACATTTGTACAAAAGTAACCTAATTTACACTGTGTACCAGTGTGCTGGAATATGTAAGAGTATCCAGAAGATGTTAAGTCATGATATCCCTTTCTCAGTTTTTGTAGAAGGTGATAAATTTTACACATAATAACATTCAAATTCCAAATAGTATGCTGTAAAGTATGGATGATTTATTTAGTTATTTATGTTTTTAAGTGAAAGCATCTTCATGACATGCACGTAGTGATAAAATACAATCACATAATTTTTCATGGAGGATTTATTTTTTTTTATTTATTTACTTTTTATTTATTTATTTATTTATTTATTTATTTGCTACTTGTGCTTAGACATTGCAGGAAGCGCAGGAAAACAATCATATCACTACTATTTAAACATACAATTTTCTCCAATTTTTTCAAAATATATTTTAAGTAACTTCGTCTGGAACTGCAGCCCTTTATATCACTGCTCTGATTGCCACATTGCTTGATACATCTAAACTTCCGCCACCCACTGGATATTTTAGCTATGTTTAAGAAATGAATAAATTTAGACAAGACAATAAGTTATATATATTTTACAAAATGCAAGTTAGAGAGCATCTAATTTTCAATCTAAGAACTCAATAGGATTAATAATTTAGTCTGCCTCCTTTTTTATTCCATAATCTAACTTAATACTACTTGATTTTCATGGTGCTCTATGATAAACCACCAATTTATGTAAAAAAACTATAGTCAAATGAACGGAAACCATAAACAATTTCACTTTTGACTTCTGTTTGCCAAATCTGAGAAATAAATGATGATAAAAGATAAATGACATTTAATAAATGATAAAAAATATTCAATGCAAGAATATACCTGAAAAAAATTCAACAATAAAAAATGAACACAATAACAATTAACTAAAATAAATACTATAATACAATTGAAATTAATGAGAATTTGTTCGAAGGTTGACAAGAATGGACAAGGACAAGCACAACAATGGATATTCGGTGGCTTATGATGTGAAAGTAGTGAGTGCTTTCTTGTTTGTGTTCCAAATCAGGAAGCAAACACACTGATATCAACAATTGTTGACCACTTAGTGGAAAGATCGACAATATATTCAGATTGTCAGTGAGCCTATAAAACAGATGAGCTTGAAAAGACTGGTTATAGCTATTTAACTGTGATCATATATTTAATTTCTTGATCCAAAAAAGTGTGCTCACATCCAAAATGTGGAAAAATTATGGGGATCTGTCAAATGGCAACAAACAAAAGGTTACAGCTCATCATCATCTAGAGCCACATCTTATGGAATTCATGTGGTGGAGATCCTTTAAGAAACATAAGCTTTTTGATGCCATATTAGAAGCAATTGCAGACATATGGCAACCATACGCTATACACAAGTAGTTTAAACTTGGGGAAAATCTTGTCACAGTTTTCAAAATGGTGGGCATGAAAATCAAGTAGTACCACTAATATTAATAAATTAAGCAAAATCATAATTTAACCTTTTATTTGACAACAGTTGCTCAAAACAACATGTGTTTTTGCCATTTGCTAATTAAAGGATTAAAATACTGTAATTAAACATAGTGTTTTATTAAAAGAGAAAACAAAACAGTATTAAAATTGTATGGTAATTTTTAATTAACCACTCATACTTTATGCTAAACAAAATGTTGGAAAAATATCTAACTTGTGATAGGAAAGAGACCTTCAAAAATAAACACAGCTTCATGAACAATTTGAATGTTTAATTGAATGCAAAGTTTATAGAAAAAATTTCCAATTAAAAAGATACAAATTACATTTTTCCAGATCATATCAGAGTCATAATACAGCTGATTTTACTTGCAAAAAACCTTGCACATTCTGCAGCAATTTATTCCACATGAATTCAATTTAGTAGAAATTTAGGTAACAACAAAGAGTTCTGCTAATGTTTGTTTTGGCATTTTATACTGGCAAATCATGTTCTTCCTTTAAAAAAAGTCAACATTTAACAAAAGTAAACAAAAATGTTCAAGTGAAAATTATTACACTGATATTCTTTCATCCTCTTTTTTTGCAGTCACATCACTGCAGAACTACTCGGTTCTGAAACAGGTATCAGATCAAGCATTTTCATACACAATTACATCTAACATTCCATTAATGAAACAGAAAAAATTTACAAATTTAACTGTTAAAAGATTAATTAAAACAATTTTAAATATAGTAGTTAAATACAGAGAGCTTGGGGAAAACTTAAACATTACTGAAAAAAATTGGTCAAAAAAAGTTTTCTCTTTTTGTGCTTGGTTGCAAAGTTCTTTCAAATTAATTAGGTGACAAAAATGTTAAACAGGTTGATGTCAAGTAAACAGTTAAGGTCAAGAAATTTTGCAGATATAAACTTATTTTTAATTTAAAAATGTTAGTTACCACAATGGATTAAAACACAGTGAAACACTGGGTAATTATAATTAAAATTTCTCAAGTTTCACTGCAAAGTGTGAAAATGCACTTTAAAGATATTTAGTTAGTTCACAGAGGAACTTGAGTGGAAATTAAGCATATGAATTTAAAGTACATAGACTAAGAAAACAAATAAAAGATGAATATGAATATTTTAGAAATACTTATGAATATCTTTACTGAATTAAATGCAGAAGTATTTTCTTTAGATTTGTATAAATATTTTATTTCAAAATCAAATTACTATATTGGACATCTAAGTTTATAAATCACATCTTATTTTTATTAAATATGCTGTATAAGGTCACATTCTCCAAATACTTATATAATGAATATTGTATAGCATTAATTATGGCCTAGTGAATTTATATCTTAACATACAACCAGCACTGCTACAGAACGGCTATATTTACATATTATCTCTGTTTACCTTTGGAACAAATTACAAATAACAAGGATAAGGAATACTATTTTTAGTTTGAGAATCTTTTCGTTTTTCTTCGTAAAAAATAGAAAATTGGTAAACTTTCGAAACATTTATGATCTTATGATGAATATTGTGCCTTACTGCTGAAAAAGCAAATTCAACAAAATATCTCCTGATAACTTGCAAGTTTCTGACTGCTCAAAACTTTCTTCTCACATATAAAGTTTTCCACTTTCTATGTTTACATAAGCCTGGTAAAATTAACATTCAAAAGCGCCAATGAAGCCATCAAGTTCATGTGATTTTCCCAGGCTCAGAAATTTACGTATCCAAAGAAGTCTTTAAAAGAACTTTAGGGTAGGTTAAGCATTGCCTTCAGATGCTGAAAAAGAAAAAATTAATCTAAAGGATTATATGCATTATTTTGGGTTATAAAAAAAATTGGCATTTTTGTAGTGCAAAGTATTAGTTATAATATACAGTCACATACTATGAAATTATAATACATAGTGATATATTATAACTGGTTGTATAATATATATAATTTAAATCATAGTAAACTTATTACATTTGTGTACAAGTCAAATAAAAACTAGTTTTTAAATCCATTTGTACATTATTATTGTTAACTGCAATACTATTTATCATACTACTATCTTTTCCCCTCCCTCACTTAATTTTTGCCTTAGGATTTTAGCACAAAGTTCGGAAAACATTTTAAGTATTTATGCAATTTTCAATTTCTTCAAATAATTCAAAAGGCAAAGTCTCTAAATTTTAAAATTAATTCATCAATGCAGTGGATTTTCCTCCTACTAGATGATTTCCCTGATGATTATTAGGTGGATGAGCACTGATTGATAAAGCAATAAGTAGTGAAAGGCTCTAAGAAAATGGGGATACCTAATGCTCTTGATGATTCTGAAGGTCCTTCCATTCAGAAAACAGAGGGACGACAAAGACAGTGATCATGGTGATAATAACAACAACTTGCAAGCTGTAGACAGAAGTGTTGCATTATTTCAAACCTAAGGAGGAGTAGAGGTCGACAATGAGAGTATGTGAGAGTCGGAATCAGATAGGTAGAAAAGAAGATATTTTATTACATATGGTAACATCAATATTAATATGCATCCTTACTGGAACGTAAACTTCATTCAAACAGATACTTTTGAGATAATTAATGGTAATTTATCACAAATATTCATTTTTCATATTCTTACTGCAACCGTGTCCTTCATAAATATAATCATTCGCATAATTTGCAATAAAATTAGTAAAAAAGGGAGGGGGAATACACAAATAAATATGGTATATTTATCTACCTGCACAGCACTTATTTTTTAAAAAGTCACCATTTGATTCATACTTGGAAAATGAAAACAATGTTCATTAAATAATCTTTTCAATGGCTGTGAAAATATATATATGTTAAATCCAGAATTCTGCATAAGGTTCTGAGAGGAATTTTCTGTTACTCAAAATACTATATTAATTTTAGTTTATGTTCTTTCGTTCACAATAAACTAATGCAATGTTAAGGAAATAGTTAGATTGCATTTGAAAATTCAGATACTTATGGTACTTTCTGGTTATCTGATTCATGCCTCCCAAAAAGTCACCAATCACTGGCGACTAATTTTTCAAAAACCTGGGATAGAAAAGACGACAGCCATTCTAGAATATGGTGACACATTACGAATTACATAAAACAGCAACCAATTAACAAAATTAAAAATGCAAGAAACACACATAATAACTACATTCATCTTTTTCTTTGCTCTTTTCTCCACGTACACAGGATTTGCTTTAGCTTAAAAAAAATCAAGCAATTGCAGAACACTGCTATTTTTCCATGGAACAGTGACATGTTTTTACTTAAAAAATTTATACAAATTAAAAAATTTGGCATCACACATGCTATTGCTTTCCCACGTTGCCAGTAACTTCTTTTCACTTGAAAAAAAGCTGAACAAACTGTGTCATCAGTGCAGAGATTCGAAAATTTATGAAATACAACTTCATGGAATGCAAATTTCTGAGCTTTCTATTGTTAGACAAAATACCAATTTTCTTTTTCTTTTTAGCAGCCAGCAAACATCATAACTGCAAATGCTTTAACCAAAAAAAAAAAAAAAAAAAAAAAAAAAAAAAAAAGATCATCAAAATTGAAAAGCCAAAACCTGCACTTATGTGATGCATGTGCATGCGTACCTACCTGTGCTGCCAGATAAACACCTTTCATGATAAAAAATACAGTTCTTATCTTCTGGAAAGTTTTATCCAAGACAAAATGAGCTGATGGTAAAAAGAATCATTTTTTCTTTTTTTTTTTTCTTTTTTTTTCTTTCTTTCTTTTTTTTTTTTTTTTTTTTTTGGTGGAAGTATTTATTATTTATTTGACATAGAAACTTTTGAGGCTGCTCAACCAATATAGTGGTTAGCGATGCTGACTGCTGTGCCGAAGGACCCCGGGTTTGAATCCCGGAGAAGAGATTGGAAATGTATAGCATCAGTGCGGAATGGCGACACTCTAAAGATGCGATGAGCTGAAAGTGCTTTCGTGTGGTTTGCTAGATGGGAACAGGGGTGGAAGAGCCTCGGACTTGTCCCTCTGGGGGGAATCTCCATCAAAAGTGTGGGCAGAACTAAGTTAAATCGCACTGTCACCTGAATGGTGCCCAAGGCTGTTGCCAATGGCAGACGTACTCTTGCACTCCTAACCATGAGGAATTTTGTGGGCTTGGGCTGACTTTGTCAGACAGGTGAGCATGAGCAACGACAACACTTTTGGAAAAAAAACTGTTTTGTGCATGTTTCTGCTTATATTAATTAATTTTTTCTTATATAAACCTAACAGTGGTTGAGCAGCAGGAACCTGAAGACTGGTAGTTCGACATGAGCTCAAATCTATTGTCGTGTCGCATTCATTATTGAGGCCCAAGAAGCAATAATTTGTTACTAACTAGGTATCTCTAACTCAGTTGCAGTTTGGTGTACATACAAGTTTATCATTATCGCATATAGTTAAAGTTAGGTATTTATTGAAGACAAAATGTTTGATATCCCAGCAGAGGAAAAATGAACTTGAATTTAAGTAGCTTAATATTTATGATAAATAAAGGTCTGCCTAAATGGATTTGTACATATATACATCATGGCAATGTTGAACTCTGAAAATATTCATGCCAAAATACCGTTTTAATTATGTATAGTGAAATATGTTTTATGCAAAAATGCTTAAGACGAAATATCAGTTAATGCGAAATAATAAAACGGTCCCGACAGACAATTATATATTTTCATGGATTTTGTTTCTCTTAACACGAAACAAAAATCCCTTAACACAAAAAGATATCCTTTCTGAGAATGAACAAAATATAAAAACACTGGCCTTGCAGGCGAGATTTCAGAGGGTGTATGAAATGAAAGAGAGGTCTTCACGTCTTTCGCAGAAAGGAGGCTAACTTGGTTTTGAAATACACCCAGAATAGCCTATGACACCTGCTATTTTTGTTTATCTAAGCTACTTTCACCTTCCACCTCTACAAACACCACACAAACATCTCATCTATCACCAGTTAGCAACCCCTTAATGGCAAAAACTAAAAAAAAGGCAAATTTTCCCCAAGACTAGTTTCACCAACATTAAGGATTACCGAAACACCTAATTCATGCCGCAGGCTTCCAGATTTCACAAACAACGAATACCACTTGGCAATTTTTTTCAGACAGAAACCAAGGGGTACCATACAGTAAAGATTAGCCAAAGTTAAAACACAAAACATTAATAATGAAAAAAAAAAAAAAAAACATGTACGTGCCACCTTACTAAGAAAATTAATATTAATATATTGAAGAGAAGACACAGAGAAATACATGCTAGCACTTAACACCACATTCGGAATTCTAAGCAGATGCTACTTTTATATTTTTTTTATTTTCTTTTTTAATTTTATATGGTGTAACTGCAAAAAGAACCATGCTTAATAATAAAGCTACAAAGACAAAAAAAGCAATTAACAGGAGCCAATTCAATAGCTGACCATCAGCTCAGCAAGAGCACAAAAATCTTAATGAACCCTTTTAGGTGACCATTAAAATTTGAAACTTTTCAATTTGTTTCAGTAATCAAGTTTTTACGCTTATAAAATGGGCATCCTTGCAAGTTAAAAATTTTCTTTCAGCACTAGAAGAAAAAATACAGAAATACCAACACGGAAACACTTCCTAAGCAATTCATCTTTCCAAATGTCTTCTTACATACTTTTTCTACGTAAGGTTGCACTTCTTGGTATGGCGAAGATTTGTCTGAAAATATTTAGGAAATCTCTTTTTTCAATATAACATGTGGGGAAACCAGGGCTGTGGAGGTGGAGTTATGGAGTCGAGCAAATTTTATGGTAAAAGGATTCGGAGTCGCTAAAAACAGGTCGACTCTAGTTTTTCTTGGGCAGTTTGAATTTGTAATGAAATTAAAATGCATTGAAAAACAATTAATGCCAACCTGAGTTATTATTTTTATTTATGAACTATATACATTAATAGACAGTTATTTTCATTTTATCGACACATTAATAAATATAAGAGAGAAGGATGGATTTGATATTTGCCATTAGTGATTAAACCGATTCATTTAGTTACAAATTTCACTGGTAAATTTGGGTAAGCAGCAATAGCAGTAAGAACTCCCAAAATTGATGCCATTCTTAGGAAGCGAGCAGGAAAAGGAGCAATTATTGATCAAGCAACGTGATAAGGAAGTACATATTTGATGATAAAAAGGTTTATAGAATTAAGAACTTTCTTAGAAGATGTAGATAACCCTAATGTTTCAAAAACAGAAAACTGTGGAATGATCTTGCAGAATTGAGAACTGCAGAATTGAAAAGAGAAATTAGTTTGCTAGACAATGAGACCTTGTTGGGTTCAATATATATAGATCCGAAACACCGAATTTTCTTGGATGACGAACAAATTAAAAAGGCAAAGAAAGCTATCTATGAAGCTATCAAACTTTCATGAAGAATGAAAGTATATTCAGAACAACTAGGGGTATTCAAATGAGAACAGTCAAACTGCAGACATTGCAACTGAGTCTCTATCATCCTCTTCCAGTAATGATAGAGACTCAATTGCAATGTCAACAGATTAAAGATATTTTTGGATATTTTGTGAATAGAATTTGATAAATATTTTTAGATAATATTGAAAAGCCTAAGACAAAGCGAATTAAAATAAAGAACCAAGAGCCTTTTGATATAAAAATGAAAAACCACAAACAAGATTTCTACATGGCCTTTGAAGAAATAAAGAAATATAATTGCGCTTGCAAGACACCTCTTTTAGAACTCATAAAAAACTATCCTGAAAAATTAAAAGAAGTATCCTAACAGTAACAGCTCTTCAAGTTAATGTGGAAAGACTCTCCTCAGCTCTAAAGTTTATCAAATCGGATCTATGGCCCTCCAACAGAGAAGATCTTGGCGAAGCTATACTATTTCTTAGAAATAACTAATGCCAGTTTTTCCATTTCATAATAAATGCTAATTAATATATATAATTTGCTATGCCATCAATATTTTTTCCAGTAGCATCTATTACTTCTTTTATATTAAAAAAACAAGCTGTAACCCATGTGTATATGTTTACATATACAGTCAAAAGTCGTTAATCCGGACTCGTCGGGACTTCGGCGATTCCGGATTATCGATTTTTCCGGATTATAGATCATCAGTTTAAATCTCGTAAGATGGCATGCAGAAATTCTAAAATTAAAAATATGAAAACGTAATTTATGAAATAAAGAACAATTATGATCTAAAGGGTATCAAAATTTGCAAAAAGAAAAAGCTTAATATTTATTTGTTTACTTTATGAAACATTTCTTTCAATGTAAGTTGTTTAAGTTTTGCTTCGTTTCATGTGATAATACTTTCTCTTTAATTCTATTAAACAGACATAATTTCTTGTTCAGTTACAAAGTTCCGCTGTTCAAGTCCTATAATTGCTGTGTCTAGAACACCGA